AGATAGTAAATGCCCAATTATTTAGTTAATACAGGATCTCATGAAGCTATCTTGGTATACAAATGCATAAAACACATTTTGTTTTTTTGGAGTAACATTATTTTAGGATCATTTTGAACTCATCAAATTTTAGAGCTGAAATAGTTGTTAGCCTAATCCATTCACTTTTCTAGATCAGAAAAAAGGTGCTGCGAGATGAAGTGACTTTCTCCAGGTCAGCGAAAAGTAGATATACTTACTCACACCTGTACTTTGATTGAAGATTGTTTTATGCTAATTTGGATCTAGAAGTGAATTACTGTCTCCCATCATCCAGAAAAGGGAGAAGAAGATCATATTGATTGCCACTGAATGTTCCTTTGCCCTAAGATATAATACAAATGAGTTCAGTGTTGTGGTTTTGTCTATCATTAGATTTACTTTAAACCTGTCCTGCTTGATGCTGCAAAATACAAATGTAGAAAACAATAGCATTAATAGGACAGTGGAATCAGAGCAAATTGGAATTGGCAGGGACCCTTTTTGAGGGAGAAATGAGGCATAGAGAGATGAGGTGACTGCTCCAATGACACAGTCAATGAGTCATATGGCTGGGGGATATTTAATTTTATTCTAGAACCCTCTATGGGATAGCAGACTGCTTCCTTCTAGTAAGAGCTCATTTTATTTAAAAGAATAAGGAACGTCTTTAAGATGGAATGAACCTGGCATACTTTCTGTCATTAAGTTGGTAAAACAATAAAATGTCACTAATTTGTAAAAAAAAAATAGGTATAGTAGTAATAGGCATACATTGATAGAAGTGAGGGCTGTCATAATTTTAAAGTTTTTATCTATTAAAATCAGTAATTCCACTTTTAAATCCTCTTTTTTTTTTTAACGTCCTATTTATTTTAGCTGAATGTGGAGCAAGTGTCAAAGGAAATGAAGGAACATTACTGTCTCCAAATTTCCCATCCAATTACGATAATAACCATGAGTGTATCTATAAAATAGAAACGGAAGCTGGCAAGGGGATCCATCTCAGAGCCCGAAGCTTTCAGCTCTTTGAAGGGGATATTCTAAAGGTAAAAAGAAAGTTGTTCAGCATTGCTGTATCTTTTCTTCTCATGGAATATGTAATACATATTATACTAATATATTCATGTCTCTTTATAGATGTGAAATTTATTTCAATTTATTTAACCTCTTGGATTGAGAAGGTAGAATGTAGTGTCACTGCTTAGTGGGGTACCTATGGCATTTGAAATAACTTACTCTGAAATCCTCCACGAAGCATTTACTAGTAGCGTACTTTGACAATTTATTTAACAATTTTAAGCCTTAGCTTCCTCATGTGTAAAAACATGCAAAGACACCTACCTTTAGGGGTTGTTGTGAAAGTAAATAATACGATATATGTACATGTTTCTAGAATTGTGCCTAGCACATAGTAGTAATTATTCAAACTTATGGGGCCCCTCAAACCAACTCCTTTTATAATTACTCCATATTTTTAGAAGAAGCACAACATTTCAAGCTAGGAGGATTTTACCACCATGTGGTAGCAAGCTGAGATGCCGTCATTAGAACACAAAACTGGCCTAATGTGAAAAAGCCAAGCGAGGGCTGGACAGAAGCTCACTTCACAGAGCAGGGAAGAAGGCATTTTTACCGAGAAGCTAGTCTAGCTCTCTGTTCCTAGGACTTGGTCATGTGCTAGCAGTTGAGCACAGAAGCAAGGGCTCTCGGCATTAGATGATACAAAGTATTAGAACCTCAGAGAAATGCTCTGGGGTTCAGGACAAGCGCTACCTTCTAGACAGACTCTAGGAAAAAATGTCCGGTGAAACTGATTACAAGGTCTTGCCTTGATTTATAAAATCCCAGTTCTAACTGAATTAAAAGGGAAAAAAAAGTTGCCATCGAGTCGATTCTGACTCATAGCGACCCTATAGGACAGAACTGAACTGCCCCATCAGGTGTCCAAGGAGTGGCTGGGGGATTCGAACCGCTGACCTCTTGGTTAGTAGCCGCAGCTCTTAACCACTTTGCCACCAGCTCCAATGGAAAATACTCCTTAATTCCTAAGGCTTGGGATATAGTACCCACCTCTCCTATAACTGGAGCCCTGGCGGTGCAGTGGTTAAGAGCTTGGCTGCTAACCAAAAGGTCAGCAGTTCAGATCCACCAGCTGCTCCTTAGAAACCCTATGGGGAAGTTCTGCTCTGTTCTTTAGGGTCATATGAATTGGAATCGACTCCGTGGCAATAGGTTTGGTTTGATTTTTTGGTTCTCCTATAACTATTTCAGGAAACTGGGTCTTGGAGCTGAGGCAAGGGCACTGATAGACCTCAAGGACAAGGAGGAAAAAAAAAGGCTTGGAACAACACAGTCTAATGCTAAAAACCACCCAGTCCAAACACTTGCTCTTTCCAATGTCAAGTTAGACAATTTGCCTAAGGTCACATGGCTGATTTGCGGCAAGATAGGGCCATATTCTTCTCATTCTCTTGCTAACATTGCCGTAGAGTCAATTCCAACTCATAGCGACCCTATAGGATGGAGTAGAACTGCCCCATAGGGTTTCCATGGAGCACCTGGTGGACTTGAACTGCCAACCTTTTGCTTTGCAGTCATAGCTCTTAACCACTATGCCACCAGGGTTTCCAAAGTATTTATTTTTCAATTGTGCTTATCTAAGTGGATGCACAAAATAATATATGGCAGATGCAGTAAATTCAACACAGTTTAAGCTGAGAGCATGTAGAGAATATATAAAGAGCCAACCAGAAGGGAAAAGTGAATCACCTCCTTCTTTGTCATCAAGTCCAGGACACAACAGTTAAAGTGGAGGATCTAGAGGAGTCCACTTGGCCTCATTAGAAGCTACGTGCACAGGTCAAGGGAAGCTTACAGATTAAAGAGCCTGCCTTCCTCCTGGGTTCACATCTGACTGTTTTTCAATGTCATAGTTTAGAAGAGTCATTCCATTCCCGTTGCTCTTTCATTTTAATAGTCTTTCAAAAGCTCATGCTGGCAATATGAAGGACTATAATTAAGAAGTGATTTTTAGGCAGAAGACTACTGCATTCCCACTATTCTAAAAAAAAGAAAATTAAATTAAAATTACATTGTAAGTAATCTTTTTCTGAATTATTTGAAAACCTCAAATTTAGAAGTCAAGAAGCCTTGAAGGCAAACTTTTAAGTAACTATTAACTATACTTTGATGCAGATGAGTAACTAAAAATATTGCATAAAATATACACTGATCATTATTATTGGAATAGAAGGAAGGAAATCATGTTCATCTGTGGTTGCATACAGTTTGAACTTGTTGATTATAACAAAAAGCCCCCCCAAAATCTTGCTAACCACATTTAACTGCAGAGAAACTGTCAATCATCTTAAATGTCTAAGTGTTTGGCAGGTGTGTATATTACTGAATATGCTAATAAATACCTTAGTGCTAAAAATGGTTTAAGTGGAACTATTTTAATTTTTAAATGTAAATGCTGTTTACATTATTTTTTCATACACACTATGATCCAATAATAAAAGCTAAAATTGCATATACACACCCCCACACATAGATACATGATGTTTTTCTTAATCCATGTGGAAAAATCATGTCAGAGAAATCGCTCTAATGAAAATGTATGAAAAGAATCTACAATGGAAGGAGAAGTTAATTTGGAATAGAGCCCTAGGGTATAGTTTCTGTAACAATGGGAATGATTTCCCAAGCACCTTCAGTGTGGCCACTCTAGCAATCTCTGTGTCTCATCCGTGATAGGCTGCAAACTCTGCTGTATCACTGTGAGCACGTGGCATTGATTAAATGTCAAGCTCTAAGCAGGTTTTGCAATGCAAACAGTTATAGCTCTGTATTAAACATATGAGTTGTAGCAGCTTTTAAATAACTAAAAGCAGCCCCCCGATTCTACCTACTTTATATATGAGGAAATAGAACTAAGAGGTGTTTGCTGAGCTAAAATAGCTTGTTACTAATGGAACTGGAATTTAAAGTTAAATCTCCTGATTTCCAGTGCTACCTGGGTTTTCCTTTGTGACACGTGCAACTCTCGAACCCAAATTTCAACTTTTGAGAGTTGATATAATAATGCTCCACATTGGTCTTAGATATGTATTAGTTATTCTTAGATACAGATTAGTGCTCATTGATGGTGATGTCGATAAATAAGGCAGAATTTCTGTTCTGGAGAAACTTACAGTCCAGTATTGCAGCTGTCAATTTTCAGTTGCTATAAAGTCCGAAACCCGTTGCCGTCAAGTTGATTCCGACTCACAATGACCCTATGGGACAGAGTAGAACCGTCCCATAGGATTTCCAAAGAACAGCTGATGGATTTGAACTGCTACCTTTTGGTTAGTGGTTGAACACTTAACAACTGCGCCAGCAGGGCTCCTTTAGTTGCTATAGCTATGAGGATATTGTGAGGTAATGTTGTCCATGTGACATATTCTTCACTACTCATTAAAGCTCTGACGGTTTGGTCACGTGCTTGTAAGCAGACTGAAATCCAGTGGAGCTGCCTATTTTGGCAAAGTTTCAGAAGGACATTGTGGGCATGGGATTTAGGCTGTGTTTAGTTGCCTTATTGCCCCTTCATTTCTATGACTTTCCATGAGTTACAGTTAATTGCATAGTATGCAGTGTTTCAGTGGTAGAATTCTCATCTTCCACGGGGAGACATGAGTTCAGTTCCCAGCCAACGCAGTTCAAGCACAGTTGCCACGCATCTGTCGGTGGAGACTTGAGTGTTGCTATTATGCTGAAAATGTTTCAGCGGAGGTTCCAGAATAAGACAGACTAGGATGAAAGGCCTGGCAATCTTCTTCCAAAAATCAGCCATTGAAGCCCTACGGATCACAGCCATCCAATCCCACTGTGCATGAGGTCGACGTGAGTCAGGGGTCACCTTGATGACAGCTAAAACAACATTGTATGTGGAGTGACCCAATAGCTTTTTGCGTAGGCTTGGACATTTTGAATCTGAACTTGTCATCTCCGAACTTAAAATTCTTTATAATCTGGATAACGGTAGCTTGTTACTAGCTCCAGTGGGAAACTAGAGCGTGAATTTGATTCTACTGCACTGGTACATGCTTATTCAGTTTAAAGGAAATAAATACTCGATCATAAAATTAATTTTTCTAAATATGTTTTCCTTTATTCATGTGAATGTTTGTGTGTAAGTCTATTGAGCAACATATACTGTTATATATTTACTGAAGAAAAGTAAGACTCTAAGTGAGAAGGAAAGAAAGTAGATTAGGGAAGGGCAAAAAAAGTCAGGTAATGAAGACTGGAAGTGCAAAGAAATGTTTATTTAATTTGATATAAACTCAGAAAAAACCCTCAAAGTAATGAGTGTAAAACGATCTGCACACAGATGGAATCTTTTATCTATAATGTTAACGGTCAAGCTAACATGTAAAGGAAAATGATTATTTAGTAGTAAGTCGTCCTTTTGACTTTCTATAAACTGTGTGAATTCTATAAGTTCTGTATAAAATCACATCCTTGTACATGTGAATTTCTTGTTAAAACTGCGAATGCGAAGACAAAACTAGACTCACGCCGTGAATTTTCTATTAGGTATATGATGGAAAAGATAGTTCATCGCGTCCGCTGGGAGCCTTCACGAGAAATGAAATGCTGGGGCTGTTTCTAAATAGCACGTCTAACCACTTGTGGCTGGAATTCAATACCAATGGATCTGACACCGACCAAGGTTTTCAGCTCACTTACACTAGTAAGTAGCATATGAGATCATCACTTTTAGTTTTTGTCCAGATATATCTGCTATTTAGCTAAAATGATTAATTAAAACAAATTTTTATGGTCCCTATTGTGTTTTAGTTTTAATTAAACTCTGTATACTGTTGAAAAACAATAAATTTAAACACATTACTACAAGCAACACTTTGAAATTTATCTAGTTAGCAGTATTTTTTAATTATAAAATAGCTAGACCTAAAATAAATTGTATGATATTTAAGAACTGCCAAGTTTTTTAAAATATTAATTGTGAAATAGTATACACTGACGATCCATATATGCATACGTGATAGTTTAGAATGAATGTTTGATATAATTGGTAACAATAGTTAGTAATTAAATACCTACCACACAGCAATGCTTTTATATAGCTGCTATATAGATGAGGAAATATAACTAGGAGGTTTTTGGTGAACTGTAATATTATAAACCATCATATATGTATTACACATATATGTCTATATCTATATCTGAAGCCCTGGTGGAGTAGTGGTTAAGAGCTTGGCTGCTAACCAAAAGGTTGGCGGTTCAAATCCACCAGCTGTTCCTTGGAGACCCTATGGGGCAGAGTAGAAGTGCCCCATAGGGTCGCTATGATTCTGGACTCAACAACACCTAACAACAACAACAATATATCTATATCATCTGTATCTATATTTATATCTATCTGATTAACCCTATGTGTTGTTGTTAGGTGCCGTTCAGTCTGTTCCAACTCATAGTAACCCTGTGTACCACAGAAGTAAACACTGTGTGGTCCTGGGCCGTGCTCATAATCGTTTTTATGCTTGAGCCCATTGTTGTAGCCACTGTGTCAACCCATCTTATTGAGAGTCTTCCTCTTTTTCTCCGACCCTGTACTTTACTAAGTGTGATGTCCTTCTGCAGGGACTGATCCCTCCTGACAACATGTCGTATGTAAGGCGTAGTCTCACCATCCTTGCTTCTAAGGAGCATTCTGGCTGTACTTCTTCCAAGACAGATTTGTTCATTCTTTTAGCAGTCCATGGTATATTCAATACTCTTCGACAACACCACAGTTCAAAGGCGTCAATTCTTCTTCGGTCTTCCTTATTCATTGTCCAGCTTTCGTGTGTATATGATGCAATTGAAAATACCATGGCTTGGATCAGGCGCACCTTAGTCTTCAAAGTGACACCTTTGCTTTTCAACACTTTAAAGAGGTCTTCTGCGGCAGGTTTGCCCAATGCACTGTCTTTTGATTTCTTGACTGCTGCTTCCATGGGTGTTGATTGTGCATCCAAGTAAAATTAAATTCTTGACAACTTCAATCTTTTCTCTGAACTTTATGTAGTAGGCCCTATTCTTATCACTACTAATTTTCTAGATGAGAAAACCAAAACCCAAATAATTTAAGTAACTTGCCCAAGATAACAGGTGTATTCGCTAGTGGAGCGAGGATTTTATCTGCAGTGTATATAGTGGTTCCCCATTAATCTAAATCGATATGGAATGTAGTTTTAAAAACAGATAAAGAAGACCAAGGAAGGAGGGAAAATAAAAGAGAGACTAAGTTGGATTTTCAAAAAAAGAAGTTTGGAATATGATGACTGTCATTTTTAACATTTTTAGTTCCGAACAAATGCAGTGAACATTTTAGCTATTTGGTGTAGATAATGAAAATTAATTAATCAATAAAGAAAATTCTTAAAATATACAAACAGTCCAGTCCTTCACCAACTTTATGATTAAAAATCTTTATGACATCCACCACCCTGACAGAGAATATTAAGATTTTGAATTTTTGAGCATTAAAGTATGTTAGCAATTATCGAGGATAATCCCTTTCTTTGACAGATGAGCAAATGAAGGCCTGGAAAAAATAACAATCATCCCACAGGCACAGACCTAATCCAGGTGCCAATGAGGAAAATTAATTGCTTCAAATACCCCCTTGGTAGAAGAAATCTTAGTTAAAGAATTGTAAGACTTCATGCAAAAATAGGATTAGAGTGACTGACATCACGAGAAAACCCGTTTTTCACTTTTGTAAAAGTAACTTTTCAAAGGACTCAGTAAATAGAAAGCATATTAATTATATCATTTGAATAATAAAAGTGTGATGATTGAAATATAAAATTTATTTATAGTTATAATTTTTTTTACTATAATTGTACTTTTCAAGGTTTCCCTCTCAAAAAGTTTCAAAGAAGTCTTGTAAAAACCATTTTGCTTTGCTTGGGGATAAAATGCACACTACTGTGATTTTTTTTTTTCTTCTGCTTCTGGTTCTCCATCAATATGCTCAATATATCTTTTTTAAATTTTATTCTTGGATCTGTCAATTCACAGTTCCTAGATGATATACTGGTCATAAAGTCATAGAGGAATATGAATACTTGAGAAGGAAAACTGTTTGAAGTCTTTACATAACTTTCTGAGTAATATAACTAAGGGAATATTCCTGTGAGCACATGTATCATTCATCCAATTCTCTTGCCACTAAACATATTTTGTAGCTTAAGCTTATTTTAAGGAGCCCTGGTGGCACAGTGGTTAAGTGCTCAGCTGTTAACTGAAAAGTTGGTGGTTCGAACCACTAGCCACTCCGCAAGAGAAAGATGTGGCAGTCTGCTTAGTAAAGATTTACAGCATTGGAAACCATATGGGGCAGTTCTACTTTGTCCTGTAGGGTTGCTGTAAGTTGGAATCGTCTCTACGGCAAAGAGTTTTTAAGCTTATTTTACCAGTCATGACCCCCTTCTGCAATAGGGCATCAGCCAAGAATAGAAATCGGCACTTCAGTTTCTCCATGTGCATTTCTGTGACTTCATCCTCAGGACTGGTCCAAGTCTGGAGGTTATGAAGCTCAGTATAACCTCTCCCAAGGCTTCTTTATAGAAAACATATCATAATATACCTCTATTTTATGTCTCATTACTTTTCTAAACCTAGTTACTGCTTCCTATTTTCCCTCCAGCTCTTTCCAATTGGAATATTGATTTCTGAACACTTGGTTCTATGTTCTCTTGGTTGTGCAAAAGGTGTGCAGAAGTAAATTCACATATACTGGAAATTCATGAAACTGGATTTATAATTGAGAAAGAGTTAACTGTTTCCAGAATCCTGACTTCCTCTTTACTCTTCAGATAACAGTCAATATGCTTTGGAGACCATGTGGCTGGATTGAGATAGGTGGTAGGTTTCATCAACATATGGCATCCATCCTCCCTCGTCAAGAGGGATTGCTTCAATTCATTACCCTCAGCCCCTATTGGACCCCACATGGCTGCCGTAGTTCCATGAATCTCCTTAGGAACCAGCACAGCTTTAAGATGTTTCGCTGTTCCTTTCACTTCACTGAGCAACTTTGAGAAAAAGCTCAAATCCATTGAACTATTTATGGGCACCTTCTAATTATAGAGAAATTTTTGGTTACATAGTAATACGGCCCCCCTTCTGTCTCTCTCTCTTTATATATATATATGATATATACATATATCATTTTTAGAAATGGGTACAAATAATATTCATATATTCTTTAAAATTTCCAGTATACTCTCACCTATTTTCTAAATTTACCATCACAACAATTCTGTGTCTTGGTAAGTAGCTCCTATTACTATTCTTCATAACTTTGAAATCCTGTTTTAACATTCAGTGAGTGGTACAGCTAGGACCCAAATCCAGGCTTTTGAACTGAAGCCAAGAAACTGTTGTTGTACTTACTTTCAAATATTGTAGATATTCCCTCTTTAGTAAGCACTACATATGTTGACTGATTTGTATATATGCAAACACATTGGCAAGGAAGAAAAACGAGGTCGTCTTTGGCCAAATTGGAAAAAAATTAATTAATTAAGACTGTTATTAAGAAATTACTGTTTTTTGAGTAGTAGATTGGGGGGGGGCCGAGTTCAACCCCACTACAAAACACTGTTTTTTTTAAATTATTATTACAGATTTGTCTATGTTTATAACAGATCATATTCTTCTGGTGTATGATTATGTGAAGTGGAAGTATAATCCGTAAGCTCTTTGAGGTCAGGGACATTGGGGTGTCCACTTTTGTATCCTCCCCTGCACCTTGCACAGGTGTCTGCTTTGTGATGTAAGAAGCTTAGATGTGATCATTGTTATTCAGGTTGTGTTCCATGGAGCACTGTGAGTGCACAGGGCTGTCCTGGGGCAATAGGAGTGAGAGCGTCACCTTATTTAACATAGGCATTTTCGTTTTGCTTTCTCCCAGTGATTGCAAAGTTCTTCAAATATCAAGAAAAACCATATCGACAATGAATTACAATGAATTATCATATTTTCAAAATATTTCAACAAGTATTTTTACAGAAAAGGAGGTCTGGAAATTAAAAAAGAAAATCCTATATTGAATTTGGAATTCTTTCACAAATGTGATGCAGTTTTGTAGAGTTCCCAAAGAATGCCCCCAGGATAGTCATTCTTAAGAAACAGTTTACCACAGAAACCTATGAGAGTATTTGCAAATGAAACAGGCTTTCTGGATTGTTTAGGTACACTCAGTTATTTAAATAGAGAGAAACATAACTTTCTTTCACAATTCAAGAAAGCATTCTTGCTACATGGGGACACATTTAAAGAACTGTAGTTTAGACAGGGCTGTCCTACTGTATCGGTGGATCTTCCAATTATGCAATGAATGGGCATATATTACCTTTGTACTGAATGTTTAGGACTGTATTGAAACAGAGAAAGCAAAAAACATGGCTTTTGTTTCCATATCAATGATTTGAGAGAGTCACATTTAGTGCTGGAGATACGTTGGTGAAAGGAAATTAAAATATATAATTACATTCAACTGTGCTATGACATGGATCTGCAAGTGCTATAGGAGTCAACTGAGGACCTGATTCCCAGTGACCTATATATATCTTCTGCTGGTGTATATCTTTACATGAGTTTGCTCTCCTTCCTCAAATAAACTATAGCTCCTTATGATATTATGTGTATCTTATATTCGAGGACTTATGATAATAA